CTGGCACTGCTCCCACAGCTCTGAGTGACCAGAGCTGAACTCTGGGCCTTGACAAGGCAATCAGGGCACATCACCCACATTTAAACACAACACACTCCAGGAAATTATGTTTTTTATTTCCGTTTTCCAAATTTCAATCAGAATATCGGCTTCAAAAATAAATGAAGTAAGGTAACAAACTCGTGGGATAACAAAACAGCAACCCTAAGCTACAACTGCACAGGGAAACTCCAGGATACACCTTGGACATTAAATATTGCCCCTCTTCTCCAACAGCAGCTGAAAGGAGTAAAACATTTCACCTTCAACAGCATCCAAGAGATTGTTGGGAGTGCAGGAACAGACCAGAAAAACTCAGCTTTCCTCTTTCCAAGGACACCAGGATAGCAAAAACAGAGTGTTGAAAAATATTTACAAATATATCTACAAGACACGGCTACAGCGCTGCCAGGGCGCCCCCAGGCCCTGGAGCTGCTCCTCCCTCCAGGCAGGAGCAGATGTCCCCAGCCCTGCTCCAGTTAAGAGCCATCCTGCTGGTCCTCGATCTTGGGGGCCAGGTAGTACTTGAGGTGTCCCATGTCAGCGATCTTGTACTCCACAACTGGGGAGAGAATGGAAACAGGGGGTGGTTCAGGGGGCTCTACAGGAAATCCAGCCCAGCTTCCACTTCTGCCCAGGCACTCACCCAGAGGAACATCTGCAGACATGCTGAGCGTCACCGTGGGGGACAGGGGGGTGGCTTTGGTGAAGAAGTTCAGGTACCTCAGGGCGAAGGTCAGCTGCACAGGCTCGTTCATCTCTATTGTGACCTGGTGAGCAGGGGAGCATTGCAGAGCCTTCCCCAGGGCTGCTGCCCCTGCCCAGCCCTGCTGCAGCTCCCAGGGGAACACTCAGGGACACTGAGCTGTCCCTGCTCGCTGCATGTGGCACCCAGGGACCTCCAGAAAGGCCCTTTCCAACCCCAGGGTGGCACCCAGGGACCTGCAGAAAGGCCCTTTCCAGCCCCAGGGTGGCACTCAGGGACCTCTAAAATCCCCTTTCCAGCCCCAGGGTGGCACCCAGGGACCTCTAAAATCCCCTTTCCAGCCCCAGGGTGGCACCCAGGGACCTCTAAAATGCCCTTTCCAACCCCAGGGTGGCACCCAGGGACCTCTAAAATGCCCTTTCCAACCCAGGGTGGTACTCAGGGACCTCTAAAATGCCCTTTCCAGC